CAATCAAGTTCCTTCAGTACAAACTCCCTTCTAAGACTGAAATTCAAAGAGAACACAGGAACAGGCATGTAAGCTTGCTGGTGACCACACTGGTCTACTGGTGAGTGGAAGAGGGGGAAAGGCAGCTATGAAGAAATGGGCTGAGTTCAACCATAGTCCATTGATTCCCATTGACCTGGAGATGAGAGAGAGAAGAGGAAGGGCTGGTTGGTCCACAGTGTGGTGAGACCTAGGGACATCTGAGTCCATGGACTCAGCCACAGAGGGCTAGAGTTGAGAGTGAAGCATCCAGCAGATATGAAGTGAGGGGAGATGCACAAGAACACCCAAACTTGCGGACAGTATCCATTTGACCTAGACTCAATGCCTTGATAATCAGAACTTGACTAGAGGTAGATTACAAAAAAAAAAAAAAAATTTTCTTTGATAAAGGAAACAAGGGTAAATTGCTACAATTTGATGAACCTGACTTAATACTCATGGAGGTAGTAACTCTAAATACCAACAGAGAGGGAAGGAGTCTTCACATCAAGGATCAATGCTATCTCCTCTGTACACAGAGTAGATAAGGACAGGCAACTTAAGACATTGACTACCTAAAATGACAGGGCAATAAAGGCACGAAGTGACTGCCTTACAGGGTTTCAAGAGGGAGTTTAGTTTAAGAGTGCATGTCTGTGCATGGGGGAGCGAAAGAGTCCCCACTGAATAGTTCTCATCTTGTCTAGATGGATCTGGTGAAAATAGATGGGGATAAGATTCATATGATTCAATAGTGAATAATTGTTATCATGACAAATTGCGACTGTCACAATTGTAAAGGTAGAAATTTTGTAACAAAAACAGGGGAGTGGTTAATCTTACAGTTCAGAAACAGAGCACCCTAGGACCATCAAGGGAGAAGAGCACAAGCAGAATGCAGTACCTTATCCAGATAAACAGCAATGCCAGAGGTGGAGGCAGAGATGGGGACATGGAGAGGGGGAGTGGCAGAGGACTCTAGATTCATGGGAAGAGAGGGACTAAGAGCTGGTGGCCAGGAGGCAGACTTGCAGAATGTGCCCTTTAAGAGGTGTAAATTATTGTATACACCTGAGTGTTTTTTGTTTGTTTAAAAAAAACCTAAAGTGAATAGAGAAAAATACTGTTGACTGATGGTACATGGAGGGGATTATAATCATTGTAATGAAACAAGGTTATGATTTGTTGAATGTAAAACTGATGGTCTGCCCTGTAAACATTCACTCAATCCACAATAAAAACCTTGAAAAAAAAATTCCATATCAAAACTTGTTAATTAAAAAAAAAAGGGGGGGAGTGCTGAGTGCAAGAACTTATACATAAAAGCATGCCGGACATATGGTTAAACAGCCAAAGCAGATTTTCACAATTGGAAATAGTCTTAACACAACATAGATCTTTTCTTAAATGAGCAAATAAAGAAGCTAACTACTTAAGGATTTTGCTGTTATCTTAATAAATGAAAATAGACTTAAATTTTATGAGCCTGCTTAAATTTCATCAGCTATGTAAGTTGCAGATGAGGTGGGGAATGCACAGACTTTTAAGATGCTTACTCACCAGTGTAGACAAGGCTTTAAAACAGTTATATTTCACTGCTTGGTTTTCAAATGTTAATGTCTCTGGAACCGGGATTCATCCACATTGATGGCAGAATATAGTCTATTTAGCAACATTATTCTTTTTTAGTGATGATATAAAAATTGCCTCTCTTGGTACGGTTTAGGAATTGAAATACAGCAATAAATACATGGAATAATCTCTTGATTGAATCTTTTAGTCTTCAATGTCATGGCGCATTTTAAGACATCCTAACGGACTCCTGGTGTGGCACTGTAGGATCAGCACTGGACTGTGAACCGCAAGGTCAGCAGCTCAAACCCACCAGCTGCTCCTCAGAAACTCTATCAGGGTCGCTATGAGCCAGAACCAACTCAATGGCACTTAGAAAACAATTCTACAATAAGAGTTTAAAATGTCTCATAACTATCAACAAAAAAAAAACTATCAATAGCCACATTTTACTGAATTCTGAGAAACTATGAAGAGCTGGGTCCTATTTCTTTATCAGTTAGAATCAACATCAGCACTCCCCTGGCCCTTACAGGCTTTAAGATTAAATGCTCTGAGATTAACTTCTCACTTGGCTTAACTTCTCTCACACCTGTCTTCTGACTTTTTTTGCCCAACCACCAGGTAACTTCAGGCCCACTCCTCCGACCAAGTGCTCACTACTGCCTTCTTGGTAGAACCTCTGGGATTACCTGTCATCTCCAACTTACTCTCACTCCTCTGATTAGACTGTCCAGGAAACACTTTGCTAAGCTTGGCTCAAATGTAGCAATGATTGTGAGGTTGGCCCAGGACTGGGCACTGTTTTGTTCTGTTGTGCATAGGGTTGCTATGACACCTAGCAAAGGTTGGCCAGGACCCCATTGAAGACGGTCTTTCCTTTTGTCTAGGAATAGTCTAGTGTACCCTTTCACCATAATTATTCAATCTGCATGCTAAGAAAATACTCTGAGAAGCTGGATTACAAAAAGAACGCAATATCAGGATTGGAGGAAGACTCATTTCAGCTGGTGATATGCAGATGATACAGCCTTGCTTGCTGATAGTGAAGTGGACTTGAAATACTTACTGATCAAGATTAAAGAGCACAGCCTTAGGTGTAGATTGCAACTCAATGTAAAGGAAATGGAAATGCTCACAACACGCTTTCACTGATAGACAAGTGGTGGCTATGTCTGAGGTGCACTAACCAGAAATCAAACCTGGGTCTCCCACCTTTGAGCTGTGCAGTCTAAGGACATCATCATGCAGAATACTACTGAACCAGCTGTCCCTAAATCTTTTGGCCAAGTTGAAGAATTCATTTAGATAACGAAAAGAGATCACATTTTTTTTTTTTTAAGTGTAATCTTAGTTAAACCACTGTATTTTGTGAGCCCTGGTGTGGCACTGTAGGATAAGCACTCGACTACAAGGTCGGTTTGAACCATAAAATTGGTGGTTCAAACTCACCAGCCACTCTTGTTATGAGTCATAATCAACGAGATATTCTAACACTTAACAACAACAAACAATATGTATCTATGACAATAGTCCATGTAATGACTTAGAAAAGATTCCAATGACTTGGATTAGTCTTTGTAGAAAATCTAAAGTGTACAAGGGGAGGGAACAAAGGTCCAGAAACGATAGGAATAAAATGAATTCAAAGACAGTAGTGTTAAGTTCCAATTTCTAGTTTTCTTTAAAAGTCTAACATATGTGTGTCTTTATCAGATGACTTGGAAACCATCTGAATGAAGGGGACAGCTGAGCTCTTGAACTCTTTTCCATATCACAAATTCACTTGGGACTCAGAACATACTTGCTAAATTAGAGGATAACGTAATATTAAATCACAGTTAATAAGTCAGAAACTTGTATGAACATAATTTTTTACCTTAGTGTAAGAGAGACCACACATGAATGGAAAAACACATTCAACAATTAACAAGATGCTAAAAATTCAGCAAAAACAATCAAGCTACATAGAATAACCTCCAGTTGTTTTCTGTTTTTTAAGTAAATACTTAGAGCTACACAAGAAAAGCAATCAATTTCAAAGCTAAAGTCAAATGGGAGCAAAAGAGCTGTGAAAAATTCTCGATAATTACAACTCAAAGTCTTTGTGAGTAATTATCCACAGTCCTGGACCAACTCTGCACTGGGCAGAATCAACTACCGAGGGAAACAAAGGCATACGGGGCACAGTGACTCGGTCCTCCAGTTGCTCTATCACTGTAGGTATATAAGCCCACAACACTTACAGAACAACGTCTAATTTAGTTACTTTATCCAGCACCATTTGTTTTCTTTTCCTAATAGATTCAAGAAATTAAACGAGAAAAATGACTTTAGTTACACCTTTCCAAGCACAAGACAAGAATTTGCTTGGAAACAGAATTATAATTGGAATGCATTTTTTAGACTATCTCATAAATGAACACCCCAGTACTTCTTCATGATTGCTGTGTCAATAGAGAGAGAGAGGAAGGTCTTTCCCTACAGTTACAGCTCTGAATTGGTCTCTCATACTTCGGACATATTATCAGGAGGGACCAGTCCTTGCAGAAGGATGGAATGCTTAGAAAAGTGGAGGGTCAGTGAAAAAGGAGAAGCCCTCAACAAGATGGACCAGCACAGTGGCAGCAACAATGGGCTCAAACATAACAAAACTTGTGAGGATGATGCAGGGCTGGGCAGTGTTGTTCCGTGGTGCATACGGTGGCTATGAGTCAGAGCCAACTCAACAGCACCTTACAAGAACAAGGGACTGAGGGCTGTTGTTGCTGTTAGGTGCTGCTGAGTCAAGCGCAACTCACAACAACTTGGTGCACACTGTTGTGATTCATAAAGCTTTGATAGCAAATTTTCAGAAGGAGATTGCCAGGTCTTTCTTCCTAGATCCATTTTCATCTGGAAGCTCTGCTGAACCATGTTTGGCATCCCAGCACCTCCAAGATGCCAAGTCCACAGATATTAAAAGAAGACAAGGACAGTCTCCCAGCATAGACAGAGAAAGGAAAGCCTTCCCCCAAAGCCAGAGCTCTGAATTTGGACTTCTAGCCTCCTCGATTGAGAAAACAAATTTGTTTGCTAAGTCATCCATAGCAGCACTAGCTAACCTAGAGTATATAACTAAGAGTTCACTAGCTTGAAATGACAGCTTTTAATACTTGGTTAGTCTACTGTTCTTAAGTCAATTCCAACTCATAGCAATGCTGCATAGGGTTTTTGAAGCTGTAAATCTTAACAGGAGTAGAAAGCTTCATCTTTCTTCCAGGAGCCACTGTTGAGTTTGAATGGTCAACTTTGTGTCTAGCAGTCTAGTGCTATGCCTATAGCACAACCAGGGCTCCCTGGTTATAAGATAAAAATCAGGTATTCACTGTTGATGCTTAAGCAAAATTGTTTTAAGTCAGACTTACATTTTCTGGTTCCACACCAATGTCTTCACAAAATTTCTCCATGCCTTCAGGACCTACAACATCATCAGTACCTGTGAATGAAATGTAACAATTTCACATCAATGAAATTCAACTGTTGAGATAATTTAAAAAACCATATCTCTTATTTTTTAAAATCTTCATGAGGTAAAATATATATATAACACAATATTTGCTATTTTAATCATTCAAGCATACAATTCAGCGGCATCGGTTATATTCACAATGTTGTGCAAGCATCACCACTATTTCTGAAACTATTTCATTTATCATTCCAAACAGAACTCTGCACCCATTAAATAACAACTTCCCATTCCTCTCCCCACTCTGCCCTGTCCTCCTACTCTCCCCCATCCAGTGCTGGTAATCATCTAATCTACTTTCTGTTTCTATGAAAGATACAAGGGCGAATTAAAAATTATTGCTGTTAAACCCCATCCAGAATCTTCTGAGGTGGGAAATTTCCACTTGAAAGGACAAGCAGACCAGCCTGGAGCAGCTAGAAGAACAGAAGATACTTCTTGGATGAAACACCAGCAGGAAAAATCAAAAACAATAACAGCAGTCTGAATGACTACTACAAGAACAAGGAAGCTGTTTGTTCGGGAGCTATCAAGGCAAGTGGTTGGGTCCCCTCAGCACAAACCGTCTTCCAAGACTAAGACTCAAGGGGAATACACGAGCAGGCATGTGGTCTGCCTGGTGACCACGCTGGTCACCGATAAGGGGAAGTGGGTAAAAAACAGCAATGAAGCTGCGAGCTAAGTATGACCACATTCAATAGACTCCTGTGAACCTGGGTTGAGACCTGGTTGGCCAGCAGTATGGCAAGACCTGGGGACTCCTGGACCCAGAGAAAGTGACATGGCCACAGAGGACTAAACCGGAGAGTGAAGCATCCAGCTGATATGAAGTGAGGGGAGATGCACAAGAACACCCATACTTGCAGATAGTACCCACTTGACCTGGCTTCCCTGGCTGGATGATCAGAACTTGACTAGCAGAAGAAAGAAGACCAAAAAAAGAGTAATCCGCTACAATCTGATGAACCTGACCTATACTTATGGATGTAGTAGCTCAAAGAAGGAACAAATCTTTACAGCGAGGATCATTCCCATCCCCTAGGTAAACAGTGTTGACAGGGATGGGCAATTTAGACATTGGCTACCCAAAATGGGAAGGCTACAAAGGGCAGAAGTGACTGGCTTGCAATCTTTCAAGAGGATGGGGCTGATGAAAAGAGATGGGGATAAGACTGTTGTGGAACAATAGTGAATCAATGCTATCAGGACTGACTGTGAGGGTCGGAAATGTAAAGGTAGATGTTTTGTAACAAAAGGAGGGAAGTGGTTGATTTTGCAGTCCAGGAGCAGAGGTCCCTGGGACCATCGAGGGACCAGAGAAGCAGTAGTGCCAGAGATAGAGACAGAGACAATGATGGGGAGAGAAAGAGCGGCTGGGGACTCTGGCTGGACTCAGGGAGTGAGAGGGGTTGTGTGCTGACGGCTTGTGGGGTGTACCCTTTGGTTTTCTCATAATGCATAGAGGGGATTGTAATCATTGCAATGAAACAGAATATGATAGGATGAATGTAAAGCTGGTGTTCTCCCATGTAACTACCATATAATTCACAATAAAAACTTAAAAAAATATATACTGCTGCAAAATCAGAGACCTCTTTATCAAATGAAAAAAAAAAAAATTTTAATGTGAAGCTAATGTTTCTTGCCACATATTCCATCTAGGACCATACACTTCTGAAGGTTGTGTTTCCATCTACCCTCCCCTGAAGAAATCTGCACTCTTCCACTAGACAATATCGAACTGGCAATTCTGGCATCCTTGAGGGGCTGAAACTGTGTTTCTTTTAATGTTTTTAAGTGTTCTGAGTTTGGAGAACAAAAGGAAGTTTAAAGGGGCAAGATTCGAGCTGTAGAGTGGATGGGGTAAGGTTTTCCAGAGAAATTCTCATAGGAGAGCGCCCTTCCCACCCTGAGAGAATGAGCAGGTGCATTGTTATAAAGGAAAACCCCTCCATGGTACACCTTTCCTGGCCTTTTTCTCACCAATGCAGTTTTTCATTTTCTTAAAATTTCTTCCTAATAAGCCCCTGTGATTGCCCTGTGTCCTTCAAATAGAGAAAACGCATCAAGATTATCCCTTTGGAATCCCAAAAAACAGTCACCATAATCTTCTGAAATGACTTCTCTGGACCAGTAGATCCCCTTGGAAGTCACTGTTTTGATGGAACCGTGTTTTGGAAGGTTCCCTAGTGAGACAAAGACAGGTGCATTACAGAGAACTTGACTGTAGCCATCCACTGATTACAGAGATATGCTTATATATTTTTTGCTTGGAATAAACCCATGCATATATGAACTAAAACCACAGAAACAATACTTTTTTTAAAATTTACTTCCTATATTCAAACAACGGACTCCTGGTGTTGGCGCAACAGCATCAGCATTGGACTGTGAACAAGATATGTGGTTCAAAGCTCCCAGCTGCTCCTTGGAAACCCTATACAAGATGGCTACAAGCACTCAACAACATATTCATACAATATGAATATTTTGTGTCTGGCATAACATTTTCAAGATTCATCCATGATGTAACATTTCTCTTTATGGCCAAGTAATACTCGCATATTGTTTGTCAAGTGCTGTCAAGTCAGTACCATAGTCATAAATAACAACAAACGCATACACCTATTGTTAAGTATCACAGAATTAGTTCCGACTCATAGCTAGCCAGTATAGGGTTTTCAAGGATTTGCTGACGGGTTTGAAATCATCACCTTTGCCAGTTAGCAGCCCAGGGCTTATCCAACAATGCCACACCAGGACCCCATACAGATAAACCGGCTATTATGCAATGAACATTGGCGTACAGGATTTGTATGAATCTCTGTTTTCAATGTTTTGTGTATATACCTAAGAGTGTACTTGTTGGTCATATGGTAATTTTATGTTTAACATTTGAACAACTGCCAAACTGTTTTTCAGTGAGGCTACACCATTTTTCATCCCCATCAGCAATGTGCTGGAGTTCACATTTCTCCACAGGCTTTCCTTAACACTTGGTATTTTCCTGTTTTCCCAGTAATAGCTATCCAAGTGGGTGTGGAGTGGTATCTTACTATGGGGCTTTGCATTTTCCTAAAAAATAATGATTTGGTATGGCATTGTAGGATAAGCACTGGACTACAAACTGTAGTCGGCAGTTCAAATCCACAAGCCACTCCTAGTAAACCCCATACAGCATACTGTAACAACAAAAACAACAAAATTTCATGACGTTGACCATCTTTTCATGTGCTTAGCAGTTATTTTTATGTCTTCTTTGGAGAAATCTCTATTCAAGTCCTTTGTAAAGATCTTAACTCCTTTCTGAAGGAAAAATAAAATCAATATTCCAAGCATAAACTGAAAAACATTCAGTTATAGCTTTAAAGGTTTCTTTTTGGCTCATTTAAATCAATATACAGATATGTCCTTCAACCTCTGGCCATGTGATTCATCTTATCATTTATATTCAAAAATAGGCTGCCTAAATTCAATTCCTGCTTTTTAAAGTGGATTAAAGCACTACTCTTCTTTTAGTAATAACCTCAATACATACAGTAATTAATTTTTGGAAGCCTAGTTAGCAAAGAACCACATATTATTCTTTATAAAATTAATTGGAAGGAACACAAATGCTCCTTTTACACAGAAAGAAACAAATAAACATGTAGTCTTTTTGCCCTTGATAAATGCAATAATAAACCCTGTGTCTTCCTCCTCAAGCTGTAGCTCTATTTCTTCCTGAAAGAAGTGTCCGCAAGTTCAGTCTTGATCTTCCATTTAGTCTTTCCCCATTGCAGTGTGCGTCATTCCCATCTCGCCACTGAAACTCTTCTTGCCAAAGTCATCACTAACCTTGAAACTGTCAAGTCTAATCAACTGTTCAGTCCTTATTCTATATGACCTATGCGGGGCTATCTGAAGAAATTCTTTCCTCACAAAAAATATTCCCCACCCGCCCCCATGGCTTCTGAATGCACTCGCTCTCATCTGGGTTTCCTATCTCTGCTCTTTCTGGGTTCCTTTGCTTCTTCAAACTCCTTAAATTTAATGTGCAGAGTTCCATCTTTAATCCTCTCCTATGCCGTTCTCTGCTATTCATAGAGTTTTCAGTGACTAGCGATTCAGAAGTAGTTTGGCACTCTTATTTCCTAGTCTGTCTTTGTTTGGAAGCTCATCTGAAACCTGTCCACCATGGGTGACCCTGACGGTTATTTAAAATACCGGTGGCATAGCCCTCAGAATCACAGCAATTCAAACCACCACAGCACGACAGACGAGTGGCGGTTGTGTGGTCGCTGTTAAACACGAATCTCCTTGCGCTACGGCCCTTAAGTCCGGCTCAAAGGTGGGATTTCCGTCCTCGGATGGCGCGTCAGTCAAGAGATCAGACGACGTATTGCATTGGGCAAATCTGCTGCACAGGAACTTTTGAAAGTACTGAAGAACAGAGATGTCAGCTTGAGGACTAAGGTGCGCCTGACCCAGGCCATGGTATTTTAAATAACCTCATATGGATGCGAAAGCTGGACAGTGAATAAGGAAGATCGTAGAATTGATGCCTTTGAGCTATGGTGTTGGTGGAGAATACTGAAAGTGCCTGGGACTGCCAAAAGAAACAATAGATCTGTTTTGGAATAAGTGCAACCAGAGTGCTCCTTGAAGGCCAAGATGGCTAAGCTTCCTCTCTCCTACTTTGGACACATTGTCCGGAGAGAACAGTCGCTGGAGAAGGATGTCATGCTGGGTAAGGTGGAGGGTCAGAGAAAAAGAGAAAGACCCCCACGAGATGGATCAGCCAGGTGGCATCATTGATGGCGTCAAGTGTGGCAGTGGTAGTGAGGTTGGCCCAGGATCGGACATTGTTTCATTCTGCTGTGCATGGGGTTGCTCTGAGTCAGTTCCGACTCGATGGCACCTGACAACATGCTGTTCTATATACTCTCCCTAGGATATTTCAACCACATTCAAACTTTCAGACACGACCC